TAATTAAATAAATGATTTTAGAATAACATGTTTTAAACTTTCCACCAAAAATGTTTGACTTTCATACTGGTGAGTCGTTTAGGAATGTTAAAGCAAACTTGACACATGTCATTCGTAGCAAGGTACAGAGCAAGTCCCTCGGAGGCACTGGCCTTCCCAGTCGACAGGGGACTCAGTACAATTCACATGTCCTGAGATTGTGCTCTGTGAACATGTGTTTACTGAAGTTTTAATTTTTGAATTTTTAAATGAAATCATATCTGGAAAACATCAGATCTTACTATAGGGAGGACACCAAGAGAAAAACAGAAGAAAAGATAACACCCTTGAAGTCCAAGTTCAGGTCATCAGTCACGTTAAAAAAGGTGACCATATGTTAGTGTAGGCTACCTGCTTTGCCTTGGTGAAAGAATGGTCAAAATTGTGCATGATAGTAGCAAAAATGGTGTACTGTGTAAATCAAAGACTTTGTCAGCCAGAATACTTATAATGGAGAAGATGCAGAATTATGTAGTCAATAGTAATTGACTAATGTATCTTTAGCTCGGCTGGACATTTTTGTATATACTGCTTATATATTTAGATATATACACATACTACGTTTAATATATTTAACATTTTTCATATTAATGAGAAACGGCCTAAAAGACAGTGTATTTTTTTCTCTTCAGCTTACCTTTTTTTTATTTCTTGTAGGGAAATTCATTTTAACATTTTATATTATCCGTAACTTTTTTATGAGTTTAACCATAAAAATTAAAACACAGATATTATATGAAAGTTTTTGTAAACAGTAAAAGGAAATGCATGAACATGGTTATTTTCATCAGCCTTAAGACTTCTGGATTCATGTTCTCACCTAAACATCTGTGCTCTGCCTTTTTAGAGAATATGAATGAGCTTCTTGGTGTACAAATCCTAAATGAAAGAAAGAAATATTATCCATGAAAGATTCCAAGTTGGTCTTGAAGCTCAAGGGTAATTGGCCAATGCATTATCTCTTTACTTATTAAGGCTTTCATTGATTTTCTTTTTGTCATGGGCGCATACTAAAGTATGACTGTTACTGAGTTTGAAAGCTCGTCATCCTGTTGCTTGGCTCCCACCCCTAAATGCTTAGAAAATGATCAACTTGGTTGGAACATAAGTCTCTTAGCAGGCACAGGGAGGGTGATTATTGTTATACATGAGAGGCTATTTCTTCCTTTGGGAGATCTGAGAGATGCTGAGGTGGGTTGGGATTTGTATGAGAATAGGGATCTTGCTTCCAGCTCTTTCTGCCACATGGGCTACTTGAAAACCAGAGCTAATAATTAGAGCTGAGAAGAAAGCCTCAATCCCAATAGCAGCACAGCATGCTAGAAAGCAGATAAAACTTGTGTATAGTTGCATGTCTTACATATTACAAGCCTTCCATATAATTGTGTTTCTTAACATACATGAAGAATTCATACTTTCTACATTTTGACAGTTTAAAAATATTTTGGATTACTGCTCATGTTAATAATATATATAATAATTATATATTATTATTATCTTACCTTATTAGGAGGTAAGATAAAAGGCTTACTTAACCAGGAGGATTATTTTTTAAATGTTGTACACTAAATAAATAAAAGATTGCTAGGAATTGTACCTTGGGATTTTCTTTTTTCTGGGTCTCTAAGAAACCCTGCTGAAACACTTTTAAGAGCCAAGATGAAAGGCCAGAGCTAAGGCACTATGCCACTCCATGCCAAGGGAAGGGATGTTCAATTTATTTTTTTCCGAGTGCTGTCTCTTCCCTACACCCTGGAAGACATCTGACCTACGGGAGTTACCACAGTCAGGTACTTGACACTTGGTGTAACCTAATGAAGGCTAGAAGTATTTGCCTTGGAACACCTGCCGTGCCAGGTGCAGAGTGGACTGTTGATCACAAATGACATTAAGTGCGGACTTTCATTCAGATGCTTTTAAGTGTTCTCCATCAATGAAGTAGCGCCATCCTGGCATGGATAGGTGCAACTGCTATGCCGGATAGCTCAGAGGAGCATCCTGAGGCAGTGTTCCTTCATTCCATCCAGCACACAGCTGGGATATGTGCTGCTCCTAAAATAAAACTTCTCTACAGACCAGTTGATAATACTCCACAGCCAACTCCTGTCTTCTGGGGTTTGGAGAGAAATGGACTGGTAGTGGAAGAACCAGATTCTGGCAACAGCTGAGGTGATGCTTCATCTCAAGGGTGCATCACACTTGTAACACAAACCACTGATCTACTAATGAAAAAGATAATAAGTGGCAGAGCTAAGACTGGAACTGGCACTGAAACCATTGGGAACCGTGGTCACTCTGTAGACTTTAGGAGAGTTAGGAGCCACTGGGAATTGCTGTGATGCTCGTAAATGAGCCTCCTCCTCCAGCATTGCAGTTTCCCTTGGTTCCTAGTTCGGTGCTGCTGAAGCTCCGCAGCTTTTCTCGAACTGTCTCCTGCAGCAAGTTTATGCCTCACTACAGCATTCCCCAATTCTTTTATCTTCTCCCTTTGAATATAAACATTTTTGTGAACAGCAAAATGTTTCTACTGATGTATAAACTGTAAGTCACATGACATTGACTTTTATTCAAACCAGAAGATTTCATGCCAGGATTGTGGTATCTTTTGTATCAATGTAAAAATTTTAATTTCACGCCCTGCAGATTTCACAGTCCTTTGTGCTCTCTCTGCTCCTATTGCTATAGAAAGGGTAAATCCCTGTATCACATTCATTTCAAACTGAAAGAAAGTAAAGTTGATCCATTTGAGATCTCCAGAGTTCAGTAAAAATCTGTTGGCAAAAGCTGTTATTTAAGGAGGAAAAAAAAAGAATTTATTTGAAAGAGAGAAGGGAACAGAGTAGAGAAAGATGTCAGTACACAGAAAAGTCTGGAATATGTGAATAGCAAACACAGTGGAAACAAAGCAGACATTTAACTTGGATATTTGGTTAAAATAATTTTTTTAAAAATGAAATTCACCTCTTATATACAGAAATTTTTCATATCAGAAGTTTAAGATCAAAGATATCACAGAATGAGAATTAAACTTAATGCCATAAACTAACATTAACTTATAGGAAATATATTCATGTAGCCCTTACAAAAATTATGACCTACTTGTATGGCCTCTAATAAACAATTTTGAATTTACTTTATTGCCTCTAATCTCAGCCCATGGTTGAAAAGTCAGGTTTAAACTGCTGATTAAAATTAATTAGCTGTGACATGGGCACCCAGCATTCACCTCTTCACAATACCAACGATAATCCCTTTTTGGAGGGCTGTGTATAGGAGTTAGGGAGGATTCATTCAAGAATGTGTTTGCTAATGAGTTTTTAAAGAAACATACCAGTGATTTGGCAGCAATCACTTAAGTACTTATGTTTATTTGAGACAATTGCAGTGGTACTAAGATTTCTTACAGTAGCATTTAAATCACCTATAATCCTGTCCCCCTCTGTATATACACTGTTTATACCACTCTCACTATTTTAGTGTTTAGTATATTTCCTTCCAGTGCTTTTTTCTTTCACTTTTTATGTACTTCTCTTTCTTTAGATAAAGTTTTTCTAAATTGTGAAATATCTGGAAGCTAAAAAAGCAAGAAAATTTCTTTGTATTGATCATTCCATGACTAAATAAGAAAGAAGTAGGTAGGAATTAGATATGCTAAATAAAATAGCTTAGATTGACCTTTTAGCAGAGCTGACTGTTGGAATGAGAGTTTACATGTTTCTCTCACAACTTACCCTGCGAATGCTATAATATCATTGTGTTTCCAATCAGCTCTATATAGAAATTTAATCTGAAGCAGAAATCACTGCTGTAAAATGTGTGGTATATTCTAAAAGTGACTCCTATCTCCCTTTTTTTTTTTTTTTTTTTTTTTGAGACAGAGTCTCACTGTGTTGCCTGGGCTAGAGTGCTGTGGCGTCATCCTAGCTCACAGCAACCTCAAACTCCTGGGCTCAAGCGATCCTCCTGCCTCAGCCTCCCGAGTAGCTGGAACTACAGGCATGTGCCACCATGCCCGGCTAATTTTTTCTATATATTTTTAGTTGTCCAATTAATTTCTTTCTATTTTTAGTAGAGACGGGGTCTCGTTCTTGCTCAGGCTGGTTTCGAACTCCTGAGCTCAAACAATCCGCCCACCTCGGCCTCCCAGAGAGCTAGGATTACAGGTGTGAGCCACCGCGCCCAGCCCTATCTCCATTTTTGAGGTGAGAAAAATGTGTATTAAAGTTGAATCAAGCAATTAGAATTAATTTCTTTGTAGAGAAAAAAATGACCAAATGGAATCTTCCCGGTTAAGAGCAATGCTGGACAAACGCATTTCCTGGAGGATGTCAATCAAGCTTGCTGGTTGTCATTGTACTTTGTCAATTTCCAAAAGCACAGGCAGCTTAGGCAAACCATATGTCTTCACCCTTCTGGGCCTCCAGAGTTTGAGCTAAGAAAGAATTCTCTTTCCCTCAGCCTCTCTTGAGACACCAAAATAATGTTGGATTTTCACCTCAGCGTACCCCATTTATCCATTATCTTTTTCCTTCAATTTATCATTGATTTTGACCCAAACAAGGGGCATCAGGTTCAATTACTATGCTGGCCCAGTGCCCACTGTAATGAGCCAGGAGACCCTGGCCTCCCATCAGTCTTCATCAAATTCAATCCTTCTTATTGACACCTCTTGTGTTTCAATAACATTCATTGGGCTTTTCTTGTCATGTAGTTTTCTAAATTCTACCAAACTGGGATAGACAGTGGGTCTTTCTGGGTCTTTTTACTCCCAGAGCACTGGAAGAAACCCCAATTTGTCCCCTAGCCTTAGTAATGCTTCATTACAACTCTGATTTCTTCACCATCAATTTCTGCTTTATCCATTTTCTGTTTAACAGCAACAGAAATACTTCCACCTGTTTGGCTCTACTTGTTTTCCCTCTGTTCACTCCCCTTCCTTTCTTCCTTTTTACTAATTTTCTTAGCATCAGCAAAGGCTATGAAAGGAAGCTGGGACCATAAATCAGATATAATTTCCTACGCTATTGCTTTCTTTCTTTCTTTTTTTAAATTAAAAAATATTCTTTTATACATGTGTGTTTAAACACTTCATTACATACATTACATCATGACCACCACATCCATTCACTGAAATATGACTGTTCCCAAAGTGGCAAGCAAGTAGCACTTTAAGAATCTTTTATGTGTACCTATACTATTTCTTATTCTCTCCCAGTAACAAAGTAACGTGGGAGTAACATCAGGTACACTCTAATCACATCTTTTATCATAGTCTGAGTCAGTGGCATATTCGTTGGGGGAACATCCTGGTCACCATAAAGCCAATCCATCATGGCTTACATGCACAGTATATGAGCTGCTTCACCTGTGGTCCATTTTGCATTTTAATAGGGAAGTTGGGTAATTGCATTTTCCGGGATACACCTGTGTATTATTGACCTTAACGATCCCAAAAGGTTGGATGTTCTCTCATCTTTAATTTTTATCTGAGATACTAATTGGGGTCACATGTTAACCCAAACATGCAGCCATGTCCAGAATTATGGAAACAGTTCCTTAGTTCACAGTCCCAACCAACCATTTAAGTAGTGGCTCTTCTGGGGAACTATCTGTACTTATCAACAAAGTAGGCGAGCTCTTTAAATTAAAATCCACTAGTGTCTCTTGTTTCACGATTTGCCCTCTGGCAACCTGTATCACCTTCTTTGTGACCAGAGGGCAGAGGGATATAATCTGCTGTGTTAAATTGGAAGGATCTCAGGTCTCTCCCAAAGAACTGTTTCAGCTTGTTCACAATCAGTTCTAGTCTCCTAGCTTCAGCTGTGGCACTCAAGGCAAGCAAAACACCTTAATCTCTAGCTCATTCTGTCCTCACTAAAGCAGGCCTGATCATCTGTTTTTACTTACACCTAAAGATCACAGTCTATGGCCCGCACAAAGAAAAAATGGTGTGGGGGGGGTGAGTGGAGGGGAGAATGTTTCTTATCTGCTAGTTCATTCTCCCTAATAGGCTCATATAAAGGTTATAAAGGACATCTATCCATATTGTCTTGTCAAGTATAAACAATCATAAAATAGCAAACTACCATTCAGTTTTATAATCTTAAATTTCAAACAATGCACTGATGAATTATTTGTGTTGTAGAATGTGTTTTCAAAAATGTGTAACATAAAATGGGATGAATGTATATCCATATGTGCCCTGAACTTTCCAAAGTGCACACTGATGAACAGCATAACTAACATTGTTCTGGTCTGGAAAGGTTTACAAGGCAAGCGCTTCAGTTCTCCAGCAGTCAGCTTCCCACTTTTCCTGCTAGAGCCTAGCAGGTAGCATTCTTTGACTCCATGCTGTCCAACAGTGCTTGTCTCTCAATGCAATCCAGGTTAGGGTCTATAAATTTCACTTATCCTGCTGGTGCCCAGCCACACTAAATTCGGCTTCAATTCACATTAGTAGGACATTACAATTCTGTAGAAAAGAAAATATTTTATATTAAATGGCCATTATCTAACATCATAACTTCACAAAATGATTAAGATGCTGGAAGATAATTAAGATATCTTAAGTTTTCTAGTACTTGAAAGTACAGGCATGGGAAGCAAAGGAGATAATATACTTTTTTAAGTCTGTGTGTAGCTCCTGCCACAATGACAAGAAGAAACAAAATTCTTCTTAAATAGTTCATTTTTATAGTTGCACAAATTATCAAATTACCCAAATTTTCTTTCCATTTCAAAATCTCTGAGATCAACATTGTTTGCGTAGTGATAGTCTTTTACCAAAACTCCCAAAGAACAACAAAATCCAAGAGTAGGCATGTCATGAACCTTGATTGGTGGGCATTGTTGAAGAAGGGGATGGGATAACTTTCAGAAGCTTCTTTCTGTTATGATAATATGTGTGAAGATTTATATCAGAACTGATAGCCAGGAGAGAAATGATACAGGTCCACAGTGCCTCATTCAAAACTCTTGGAGCCAAATATATTTCAGAATTCACTTTTTAAAGAAGGTAATATGGTATATAAACCATATGAATTAAAATACAATGTGTGATTATTCATAGTAAGTGGAATAAACAAAAAATATAGTCTCATGTCAGTTCAGGTCAGATTTCGTGACCACTTGAGTTAGGTCAAATGTTGCAACCCAAAAGGTTATTAAAAACTTTGAGTTTTCAGTATTTAAGATTTCACAATTGCGGGCATGGTGGCTCACGCCTGTAATCCCAGCACTCTGGGAGGCCAAGGGGGGTGGATCGTTTGAGCTCAGGAGTTTGAGACCAGCCTGAGCAAGAGCAAGACCCCATCTCTACTAAAAATAGAAAGAAATTACTTGGACAGCTAAAAATACATAGAAAAATTAGCCAGGCATGGTGGCACATGCCTGTAGTCCCAGCTACTCAGGAGGCTGAGGTAGAAGGATTGCTTGAGCCCAAGAGTTTGGGCTTGCTGTGAGCTAGGCTGACTCCATGGCACTCTAGCCCGGGCAACAGAGTGAGACTCTGTCTCAAAAAAAAAAAAAAAAGATTTCACAATTGATAAGATAGGGATTAAGGGCCCACTTACTTGTTGAACCACTCTTAGGTAGGTGGAAGAATGTCTGATTTTTGTGTGCCTCCAGTTCTGTTACCTATAAAGTAAACTCGTAACTCATTATTAGTGTGGAATTGAATAAGCTTTAGGTGCTAGACGTAGGTACAATTTGCATGTCCTTTCTTATGGGAAGTCAGCAAAGAATTTCCTTAATGAATGATCTGTGGGGCCTGTTCTTCACAGGTGCCTAAGACCTTTACCTTCTCTTTTGCACAAGGAGTTGGTGGGAGTGGCCCTGAGACTTCGATTTCCTTTTTACCTAGTATAAT